ACAATGGAAGAAGAGATAAAGATGATCGAGAAAAACAACACACGGGAGTTAGTAAATCGTCCCCATGGAAACAATATCAATGGGGTTAGGTGGATCTATAAGACAAAACTCTACCCTAATGGAACCATATAGAAACCACTACTAAAAATAAAACATTTGTTAAATGATTTTACATCATATTTCAAGATATATGATGTGAAAAATATTTGTCAAAAGGATTTTATATCAGATTTAATAATTACATGAAGTGAAAAATATTTGATTTAGGGATTTTACATCAGACATTTTTTTCCATTGATGTGAAAAATGACGTAGTGGCAGTATCGTAAATAATATGAAATTTTGTTATAAAGGATTTCACATCGGGCCTGGATTTGCACCCGATGTGAAAAGTTCACTGATGAAAAATAACAAGGTGACAGTTTTGTAAATAATATGAAGTTTTAATATAAATGATTTCACATCGGTCCTGGATTTGAACCCGATGTGAAAAAGTGGGCCTTTACATCGAGTCTCTTTGCAACCGATTTGAAAACTCCAATCTCACTAAAACCCTAGTTCATCTTCCGCGAATATCATTTCTTGTTCTTTCCAAGCTAGCCGACCATGAACATTACTCCCTTCTGTCATCACCGAGAATCAACCTGTAAAATCCGACCACGAACATCATATAACCTTCGTTCACTCGTCTTCTCAATCCTTCAACCTCGAGTCCTCATTTTTCTCCCAACAGACTAAACACATACTTCTTTCTTCCTCAACAAAATCCTAGTTGTCGACGCATTTCTCCTTCTCATCTCTTACCACCACCATTTCTCTCATTTCCAGTCGCCACGACATTGAACAGAAAACAAAGATCAGTCACTCAGTCACGTGCTCTACGTCGTAGGTCCTCTTGTTCGAGCCAAATGGATGGGATGCGAGAACGTCGCAGACGCACCTTCTCCGCCTTGGCAATGTTTTTATCCACGATACCTCATTGTTCTTCCTCTTATTTCACGACTCATTATTCTCCTTAGTGATTTTATTGATTCTAGTTTACTGGTTGTTGAAGTTGAGTTGTCTGTGACAAAAATCACTATGTTGGATTTGCTCAGGCGGCCTCCAGCTTCATCCCCTGCATGAGTGAGTTTTCATTTTTCTGAATTTCTATGTTACTGCTACTATTCCGCGTATGAAGGTTTTACTTGAAACCCTAATTTCTCCTTTTCCTTCAAAACTTTTTTCTCTTTTTCTAGAATGAATTGATCCTTAATTGAAAATAATTTTGATGTTAAATTGATTTAGGTTCGGTTGATAGGGATAAAAAATATTCGTTTTGAACTAGGGTCTTAGAGAATCATCACTCATCACTGCGGCGATCTCCGCGAATCCTTCAACTTCCGCCTTCAATTGTTCTTGTTCATCTTCCGTCTTCAACCATGAATCCATCATCTCCTCACTTTCAACTTTTATTTTCCGTCTAACAACCGTTCTTGTTCATGTTCTGTCTTCAACCACAAATCTTTCAATCCACTACCTCCCCGAATCCTTCAACCGTTCATGTTCATCTTTCGTCTTCGACATAATCTGTTAAGGCGCGTACTATTTTTCTTCATTTTTTTTTATTTCAATCTGTTGTGTTGTTCCTTATAGATGTTTGTGAAATTCCGATAACAATGTTACTAGTTTTGAATGTGAGTTAGAAATTATCATTTCAATGTCTCTTTTGTGTGTCATTTTGGAAGATGAAATTGGATGATATCATGATTGTTTTGTTGCTAATAAACTTGTTGAATTGCGTGACAATTTGTGATGAATTTTGATGTTGAAACTATTTGGTTTGAATGAATTTTGGGTGAGTCTTGAAGATAAAAATGTCAAATAATTCTGATGTCAATTTGATTTTATTTGGGTTTAAATTGAGTAATATAATTTTTATGATAATGCCATTTTGTTAAGAATAATTTTTATGATTTAATTTAATGTCACATGTTTGCACGTATAAACTTTTGTTCTCTTTAATGTGTCCAAAAGAGGGACTATTATAGACATCCCAATGATTTAACTTTATATGCATTAATTTTGGAACATAGGTATGGATCGTAGTTGGATGAGAGCTAATCGATTAAGTGCTGAGTACGAACATGGAGTGATGAAATTTCTACAGTTTGCTGAAAGTAATGCTAAAAAAAATCTTTCTCCTACTAAAAGTAATGTTGAAAAAAGAGATGTAACAATCTACATTTTACATCGGGCCATAAAGGCAACTGATGTTAAATGTGCATTTATTTTAAAAAATAAATAAAGTTAAACTCATATTTCACATCAGACGTAACAGTCAATCGATGTAATAGGTGTGTTTTTCACATCGGGCTATTGCCCGATGTAAAATGTCTTTGATTTACTACATCGCTTGGCTTTACATCAGACTTAGATCCAATGTAAAATGTGCTTTTTTGCCCGATGTAAAAAGTTTTCCCTACACTAGTGGACACAAGGCAAGACTTGTAGCTAAGGGTTACTCACAAAAACTCGGGATTGACTACAATGAGACATTTGCATCAATAACTTGTCTTGATACCATAAGAGCTCTAACAGGCTCTTGCGACATAAAAGTATAGAGTATCCATCAACTAGATGTCACATAAAAGTATAGAGTATCCATCAACTAGATGTCAAATCTTCCTTCCTCAATGACGTACTTGAAGAACATATCTATGTAGAGCATCCACAGGGATTCATATCTGAAGATGAAGAAAGCAAAATGTTAAGACTAAGAAAAATATTATATGGTCTGAAGCAAACACCTCGAGCACGGTATAGCAGAATCAATTAGTAATTTATGAATCGAGGATTCATGAGGAGAAATAGTAAGCCTACAATATACATCAAATCTCAAGGTTAGTACATTCTTTTACTCTATCCATATGTAGATGGTATTATCTACACGGGAAACAATACTAAGATGATAATGGAGTTCAAAAAAGATATGATAAAGACCTTTGAAATGACCGACCTTGGTTTGATGAGTTACTTCCTCGGTATATAGTTAAGTCAGAGAAATGACGAGATATTCATATCGCAAAATAAATACACGTAAGAATTGCTTAAGAAATTTAAGATGTATGGTTGCAAACTTATCCTTACTCCACTCATAACAAATGAGAAACTATAGAAGAATGATTGGGCACCAAAAGCTGATGCATCCAGATATAGAAGTCTAATTGGAAGCCACCTATATTTGACAGCTACACGACCATACATAATGTATTCTACAAGTCTTCTATCAAGATTCATGCAAAGCCCAAGTCAAATACACGTTGGAGCAAGAAAAATTATTGAGGCATCTACAAGGAACAAAAGAGTTCGGTATATGATACACTATCGAAATCGGCTCAAGATTACTTGGATACACTGATTATGATTTGACAGGTTTGGTAGATGACATGAAGAGCACTTTTGGCTATGCTTTCTCACTAGGATCAAGAATTTTCTCTTGGGCGTTGGAGAAGTAAGTTGCGATTACACAACCAACAACAGAAGCAGAGTACGTGATAGTTGGTGAAACAACGAGTCAATCTATATGGCTTCACATGATACTTGAAGACATGGGAGAAAAACAAGACGAGCCTACTTAAATCAACTGCGACAACAGATCAACAATTGCAATGGAGAAAACCCCAGTGCATCACAGCAAAACAAAACACATAGCAATTAAGTATTATTTTATCAGAGAAGCTGAAGCAATTAAAAAGATCAAACTTGACGTACTGAAAGACAGAAGATCAAATTTCAGACATATTCACGAAGGTGTTGCCAAGACCAAGATTTGAAGAACTACGAGCTATGTTTTGAGTCACAGAAATTTGTATTAAGGAGGAGTGTTGAAATTGCTATAAATTTCTAGAATATTCATATAATGTGTATAAAATTGGTAGAAGAACCTAGAACTATAATGTACATAAAAAATGGTTGAAGAACTTAGAATTATAATGTGTATGGAAATGCTAGAAGAACCTATAACTATCATGATACTAATCTATCATGAAACATCTTAAAAGAACTAAAATAATATAGAAACATACACCACCATTAAGAGGTTGATAATTTGAGCCTATAAATAAGCAATTGGTATTTTATAATTGATCATCCAAAAAAATTTCTAAAACTATCTTATATCAACTATTAACTATTCAACTACCAATAGCATTATATAACTTATTTCTCTATTTTTCTTTTTCTGAAAGATCATCTCTTGTATATTTTGTTATAAAATACAAGGCCATCATTCTATATTATAACTCTCTGCATAATGATTTCCATGCAGGGATCCAGGTTATCTCCGTTGGGGGCATCTGTCCCTATAAAATTAAATAGTTCATCATAAATTTTATAATAATTTTATTTTTTTCCTACACAAAAATTATATGTTGTCAATCACTAAAAAACTATTCATTCTTTTTATCAGCAAAAAATGTAACTTGCAATAATTTTATGAGATATAAATTGTAGAATTATTATTTGATTATTTAGTCATAAATAGATAAAAATATTTTGAAAAATAAAAAAAATTAACTAAATTTCAAATTATAAAAACACTTATAAATCAATCATAATTTTAAAATTTTATGAATGTTATATTAATATAATTTTATAATCTCTAAACTTCTTATTAATAGTAATATTCTGTTCTTGCCCCACAATTTAGAATTCCTAAATCCGTTCCTCATGATTTCTATCATTTGATCCATTTTAGAATGATTTATGATTCATCGGTTGAATGGAAGTTTAATCTTTCAATATTTGAATTTAAGAACTCTTATGTCTTTACTCTAGGAATAATTATTGACTCAATGCTTAACTAATACATTTTATAGCTAAGACTCTGAAACAAATGAATAGAACTTATCTACCAAGTTGTTCACCAATAAAGCACATTCATATGATTCAAATGTTGAGATCTCAAGAGAGTTTCATATTAGAACAATAGGCTTGCACAATAAAAATTTGCTGATATCTCAATTCTGGTTCAAGCAGAGTAAAAAATTTCCTACTCTCTTTATAAGTCTTGTAAAATAGTTTCTATTTTTCTTCGGTAACAGTTCATTTTTTACCACACGCGATGGTTCCATTTTCACTTCAGGTGGTGGCTGTACTTCCTCTTCAGCTGATGGCTCTGTCTTCACATTAGGTAATGATGACTCTCTCTTCCCATTAGATAATGGTTGCACTTCCACTTCGTGTAACGACTCAATTTTTGCTTCACTATATGTCTCAGTTTCCATAGCATTTGTTTGGTCATATATTAGATAGACAGCAGTCTTTCTAACAATCCATCCTTGTCCAATAGCTACAAAAATCTCCACATTGTCACCAGCTCCTAAATTTGATAGCACACTTTGCCAATCTTCGTCATTAAATGACATTACTGTGTCTCCTTTGTAAATATGGATAGTGAATTTTGTGTAATTAATAATCAAGACACTAGTGAAACATTCAGTTGTCAGGTTTTCAGGTGTTGACGAATAAAGAACGCATAAAGTTATTCCCTTCATCCCACAATCAGCATCCTCGGGAACTTGAAAGTGTACTGATGGTCCTTCACCGCTATAGGCTAACCAAGAAGGATAATTGTCACCCGGAAGGAATGACTCACTACAATTGGTTGCCAATCTCTGTATCATGAACATATGCTTAGATATTTATGTAATTCTAATTATGCTATGCAAATGGACATTTTCTTCCATTCATTTAAAAGCTATTCAATTATCCTTCTAAAGTTAAGAATGTGTTATGTATATGAATAAGCTAAAAAAATGTAATAAGTGTAGATATTAACAAGTAAATGTAATAAGGACAAATTTAAAGAGCAATGATAAGTAGAAAAAAAAGAAGAAAAAAAATATAATGGAGCATTAAAGGTGGGAGGATAGAGAAGGAACCTGTGATAAACTCTTCTCAAGAGTATCGGTGACAATGTGGCAACTTCCAATTCCAATCAAAAGAGATCTTAAGGAAAGATCCAAAATTTGTGATGCATGTGATGTTCCCAGTTCAGTAAGACCTGCACCATATAGATCATCAAGAAGTCTTTGGAATTCTTGTTTCAGTTGAATCTCAGAGTCACATTGTACCGAAACACTTCTTAGTTTTGAACAACTGCTAAGCATTTCTGATTGATAGACCAACTCCAAATTATTAGTGTCTATGTTCAGGGAAACAAGAGACGTTGACATGCCACCAAAAGGAGGAATCTGGGCTAAGGAATTCATTGTTGGTGACATCCAAGACCTAATGAGAGATGGAAAAACATCACGCGATAATCCTTCATATCCACAAAGGGATATATATACAATACTTTTTAATCTTAGTATTGAATAGGGAACTTTTTTTACAGCTGTATCTTTTGCAATCAAGGTTGTCAAGGATTCCATTTGCCCCATGTCTTCTTCCAAGTTGTCAATCTTTGAACAACCAGAGAGAATGAGAGTTTTCACTGATTTCGATTGATATATCTTTCTTGGGAGATTAGTAAGGCTCGTACAATCCTTCAAATTTATCAGAAGAAGATTTTTGAGATCTCCAACGGAAGAGTGCACCTTGGACAAACTTTGACAATCCTTCATAACGAGTTGTTCTAGGTTCGGTAATTTTGAAAAGTCAGGGGTGCTTTTTAAGTACTTGGAATGACTGAGATTGATAATTTTTAGCTTCTCCAACAACTACAAGAAAATAATTGTTTAAAAGAAAAATTAGATCTTCAAGATTATGTACCATTGAAAAGTCAGGGAGGGGTGTTTAAAATGAAACAGTGGAAAAATAACTATTTCCATTAACCATGATTATAAAAGGAAAAATATCTAGTGATATATGTACCTGAGGCTTCTTCCAAACTTGTGCAAGATTACTGTGCTTTAAGTCCATAACAACTAGATTTTTCTGATAAAAGTTTTCTGGCGTGTATTTTAAAGGAAACCCTTGCCAAGAAAGCCATTTCAGGTTCTTTGGAAAACACTCATAATCTCCGATGAATTGTACACTATCAAGTTGCAACAATCTCAATCTCTTCATTTTCTCAAAAGCAATAGTATCAAAGCAAACACTACTGGTCCCTTGCATCTTGATAACCAATCCTTCAATGGCTTTTGTTCCCTGCGACAGAAAGAAAGATCATAGAAAAATAAACTAAAAAGGAAACCTTAATTTGTTGTTTGGTAACCAAAAAGAAATAAGTACAACTTGAGTTTAAAATGTTTAAAATGCAGTGCAAAAAAATTCTTACTGTATGGTTGGTTAATACATCAACTGCATCCTCATGACACCACAATCGACTACGCTTTTCAGGCTCCTCGGGTGAACTTTCACGAACAATTTCTCTTCCCATGTCTCGTATCAAAGCATGCATTCCAAGCTTACTGTTCTTTTCAACTTTTATGAGGCTTCTTTCTATCAGCACTGTTATTCCAATATCAGCATGAAGTCCACAGCCATTTAGTATCTCTGTGATGTAAGCTTTATCTTTCCCAATAAAGAAACAACATACATCAAGAAATATATCCTTTTCCATTCGATCCTCTAAACCATCGAAGCTTATTTTTAGTTTCTCATGTATTTGATCATTTGGTATCTTTTCTAGCTTTGATAATACACTCCGCCAGTCTTGTTTTCTCCTCTTGAACAAGTAAGATCCAAGGACTTCAAGAGCTAATGGCAGTCCACCACAATAGGAAACTACACCTCCTGAGAGGCTAAGGAATTCTTTAGTTGGACTCGCTTCCCTAAACGCATGCCAACTAAAAAGCTCAAGGGACTCGTGCTTATTCAATTCCTTCACTTTATAAATAAAGTCAACTCCAAGGATATCAAGTAGACGTGCATCTCTTGTTGTGATGATTATTATACTTCCCGGACCAATCCCATGTCGATTTCCACATAGTGCATTTAATTGCTCGCGCGTGCTCACATCATCGAGTACAACAAGTGCCTGTTTTGTGCATAGTCGTTCGTTGATCATAGCTTTTCCCCACTCAACGTTATGCACCTCTATCTTTCTTGTTAGGATATCCGAAAGAAGTTGTTCTTGTAAATCATTTGGACCCCTATCTTTCTCCCAACGTTCTCTAATATTAGCAAGGAAGCTTCGATCTTCAAATTCATAACAGAGGTTATTGTAGATGACTTTGGCAATGGTGCTTTTTCCAATCCCCCCCATTCCCCAAATCCCTACTAAACAAACTCCTCTTGTATTCTGTCTTAAAAACTGAATCAACTGTTCCGCACGGGATTCTAGTCCAACTGGAAAATCTGGTATAGTTAAGCATTTTTTGTCTAGTTTTTTCAAAACTTCGCCAACAATTTCCTTCACAACATTGCTTTCACTACTGCAATAACAAATATTTTTCAAAAGACAAAAATGGTCATAAAGAATGAAAGATTAGAAGCTTAAAACATAACACTGCTAATCATGAACTGGCATTTGACTCAACTTCCAATCAAGTGAACTAACTCCCTTAATCAAGTTCTAATACTCCGTATGTGCACTTCCAAGTTGCAAGTAACCTATTAGAAATCAAGTTATGGAAAAGAAGAAAACATTACCTGTAATTACTCATGTCCCAGCCAGCCAAATGCGAAGCACCGGTGAGTGCTTCCTTTTGTTGATTTTCCTTCGCATAATCACTGCATTGATTATTGCAACAAAAAATATTTCAAACGACAAAAATGTTCATCAAATCATTAACTGACATTTGACTCAATTTGCAATCAAGTCAACTTAGCACTCTTCGTTCTAGTTCGCATAAGCATTTTTTGAGTTTATAACTTATGGCTCTTGGCAAGGCCGCATTTTAAGCTTATAACTCGTGGCTTATAGTTTATAAGCTCGTATCTAAAACTGAATTGAAGATAAAATCATTTATGTCTTGATAAATTCTTGAAAAAGTGAGTTGAATGGTAAATTTCAGCATAAATATCATGTTTAGACTCAAAAACTGAAATTCTAATTTCGAGTAGAATCAATTCTGAAAGAAATAATCAATTTTACTGATAGCGACCAATTCATGAAACCAAGCATATCAAGTTCAAATACTTATATGCATACTTGCAAAATGAGTAACCAAAACAGAATAAACAATTTACCTGTCATGACCAATATCAAACTTATTTCTATCGCTACTTCTAGTGAGAGCTTCTCCAAAAGTTTGCTTAGCATATGCACGTATATACGAAGGAGTAATACCGTAAAATACAGGCATAATAACCCGATCCTTATCTGTTTGAAATTTCATGATTTGTTCAAGTTCATCAAGACACCAACTAGAGTGAACGTAGTTTTCTGAGAAAACAACGATGAATATCTGAGAAGCATCGATTGCTCGCAGCAACTCTGGTCCAAGTTTCTTTCCCTTTTGAAGATTTTCATCGTCAAGAAAAGTGTTGATTCCAGCGTTTGAGAGTGCAGCATAGAGATGAGAAACGAAACTGCTGCGAGTATCTTGTCCCCTGAAATTGATGAACACGTCGTAGATCCATTGGGGTCTGGATGATGATGATGATGAAGAAGAAAACGAAAGAGAAGGAGGAGGACGAACCATGGATTTTTTGTGAGATAAGAAAATGGATCAAGTCAACGTTCAAGACAGTTGAAAATTGTTTACATAAATGGGTCGCCCTATTTTGACGGACTAATTTGGCTACTTGAGTTACTTTGGTTAATTTAGCTGATGGTACCTTTTCATAAAATTAGTTTTTTATTTTTTATTTTGGGGTTATTCGGATAGTTAATGGTGTTTAGTGACATCAACTAAAAGCATCTTCAATGGTATAATTTATCTATAGATTTTTTTATGGAATTTATTAAGCTGCACCATTTTAAAATAATACATCTAATTTTAAATTTTACTAGATTATGACCAGTGCGATGTGCGGATGCAAATTATTGGTGCACAAAAAGGAAGAAGATGAAAATGATAAAGTTGGAAGAAAGATAAAAGAGAAAAGTTGTAAATAACTTGTTAAGAAAAAAATGATTACAACTAAAGCTCATATACTATCAATATACTATCAGAGTCTAAATGGAACTCAAATTAATTCCAAATGCTGCTTAAATGAGAATACTAAATAACTGAATTTGGATTACATCTTAATATCATTTCTTAATCTATATTAAAGACTAAAACCAACAACACCAATTTTATCCCTCAAATGAATAAATTAATTCAGTTTTGATTGCTTTAGTCAGCACATATGTCAGCTGTTTTTGAGTGCTATAGTGCACCACTTCAAGCACTCCATTCTGAACTTGGTTTCTCAAAAATGGAATTTCATGTCAATGTGCGTGCTCCCTCCATGCAACATTGGATTTTTGGCAAGGCTTATATTTGATTTGTTGTTAATCATCAACTTCACATGCTTGCTCAACTTGATTTTCAAATCATGTACCAAGTTCAGAATTCACACAGCTTGACAAGCATACAAAGCACCTGCAACCTTCAGAAATTGACAATGCAACAACTGGTTTCTTTTTGGAGCACTAAGAAATAGGACCTCCCAGATACTTGAAGAAATATCCAGAAGTACTTCTTCTGTCAATTCTATCTCCGCCCCAATCAGAGTCTGAATAGTACATCATCTGTGAATCAAATTTAGCTTTAGAGGAGAACAAAAATTCATACTTACGAGTCCCCTTAATATGCCTCAGTATCCTGACAACAGCTTGGTAATGTGACCACTTTGGTTTGTTCATAAACCTACTCACCATTCCAACTACATAGCAAATGTCAGGTATGGTATTATAGAGATATCGCAATGAGCCTACCAACTATTTGAGAATTGTTGCATCCACATCATCACCCTCAACATTGAAATCCAACTTGTGATTTATTTCAGCAGGTGTGATTGGAGACTTGCAATTCATTAACTTAAATCTCTTCAGAAACTCAAGCTTATACTTCAGCCGATGTAGGATTATACCCTTATTAGAGTACAAAATCTTCATTCCTAAAAAATATGTCATATTTCGTAGACCAGTCATCTCAAACTCATTCATCAACATCTTCTTGAACTTAACTATCTCTTCTGAACAACTTCTTGTTAGCAATATATCATCAACAAAAAGACACACCAGAATCATATTGCTATTAGATGTATGTTAAACATAAACTGCATACTCCATCTCACATTTTATGAATCCTTGAAGCTTGAAAAATGAATCAAATTTTCAGATTCCAGACTCTATGAGCTTATTTCAGTCCGTACAAGGCTTCATGCAACTTGTACATCATCCCTTTGTGATTTTTTTACAAATCCAGAAGGTTGTAATACATAAATTTCCTCTTGTAAAGGACCACTCAGAAATGCAGATTTCACATCTAAATGCATTAGAGGCCAATTTCTATTAGCAGCTATAGCAATCACCAATCTAATTGTTTCATGTCTAGCTACAAGTGCAAACACTTCAAAGTAGTCCAAACCATATTTCTATAGAAATTCTCTAGCTACTAAACTTGCGTTGTGTTTTCCAATTGATTCGTCTAGCTTTAGTTTCACCTTGTAAAACCATCTCACGCTGATGAATTTCTTGTTATTTGGAAGCTCAGTCAACTCCCAAGTCTTGTTTTTTTCTATAGCCTCAAGTTCTTCTTTCATGGCATTCAACCATAATTTATTCTTGAGAGCTTCTTTAGCACTTACTGGTTTAGATTTTACCAATGTAGCACACTGAATGACTTCCCCTTCAGAGTCTATCTCAATATCTCCCGACATGTCAAACTATGTGAATCTTCTTGGTATTTGTCTGATTCTTTGTAGTCTCTGAACTTGTTCAAAATCTTATTCAGATGATGGAACAATATCATATGTTGGACTACCTTTAAAATCTGGTCCACCTTCAAAGGCACGACCACCTTCAAATGCATGATTATCACCAGAGTCGTGATCATCATCAGAATTTAGATCAGAATTAGATTCACCTTCAGAGTTAGGCTCATCTTCAGCATCAGAGTCACCTTCAAACTCTGACTCATCTTCAGAAGTAGAATCTCCTTCAGAGGCAGATTCTCCTTCAAGATCTGAAATATCTTCACAAGTTAACTTAGGTGCAAACTATTAGAAAGTATTTTGCGGTAATGTTTTATCGTATCTACAAGGATTGATGAGAATATAGATGATTTCCGTTCAGCGGTTTAATGATTTAAGAAAGGGGTTTCTTAAAAGGGTTTCTATTTTCGTAAAAAAGTCTTCAAGAAATAAAATGGAATAAAATTCGGTCTAAGTTTGATAAAAGCATGTCAAGATTAGGGTTCGTTAATCCGTCCTAAACGTATCCAACCAATCGAATATGTGAACAAAGTTTTAACCAACATAACCGCGTATCCTCGCAAAAATGTTCAGTTCTAAAGTGATTTCATGAATGTTATTGTTTTGACCGTTAAATGATCTCTCTAAATAACACTCGAAACAATAATCATTAAGATCGATACAAAGCAGATATCAACTTTCAAACCTATGTCTAGAATTTGCATAGTTGATAGATGAAGAAATTAGTATCCACACACCTCTCCAAGACAACATCAAGATTTTTTCAAACAAAGATCAAATGACGGTCCAAAAACTGAGAAATCATCCATAAACACCTCGATCGTCTTCTCAATCATGTCCGAGAATATAGCTTGCATACACCTTTGAAAAGTCGTCGGTGCATTACACAAACCAAACGGCATCCTCCTATAAGCAAAGATTTCGAAAGGACAAGTGAAAGATGTTTTTTCATGATCCTCCGGGTTGACAATGATTTGATTATACCCTGAGTATCCATCCAAAAAGCAATAATATTCTTGACCAGAAAGTCTCTCGAGCATTTGATCCATGAAAGGAAGAGGGAAGTGACATTTTCGTGTAGCTTGATTAAGCCTACGGTAGTCAATACACATCCTCCATCCCGTTATAGTTTTTGTTGGAATCAACTCATTCTTCTCATTATGGACAACCTTCATTCCACCTTTCTTCGGTACCACTTGAACTGGACTAACCCACGAACTATCATAAATAGGATAAATCATGTCGGCATCCAAAATTTTGACAACTTCTTTCCTCACCACTTCTTTCATAGTAGGATTCAATCTTCTTTGTGGTTGAGCTACCGGCTTGAAATCTTCCTCCATGAATATTCGATGCATACAATAGGAAGGACTTATACCTTTCCCGTTGGAAAGAGTCAAACCCATTGCCTCTTGATTTTTCTTCAAAACAACAATTAATTTCCTTTCTTCCTCCATGGTTAGATTCGAACTTATGATCACCGACTTGTTTTTCTCTTCATCAAGGAAAACATACTTGAGATGAGATGGTAACAACTTCAACTCAAGTTTGACTTCTTCATTGTTCTCTTTTTTCAAAATTTCCACTCTTTCTTTCAAAGGTGGAATTTCCTCTAATTCTTTAAGCTCCCGCAAACACTTTTCAATCTCTCTTTCTTCTTCATCATTGACTTTTGAAAGAGAATTGGTAAGAACTTGTTGTAATGGTTGTGGAGGCAAATCGCCACACATCACACAAGTCTGCAAGACATTGGTTAATGCAGGTTTCGATGATGACAAATTCCCTGGACAGATCTACTAAACCAGATGCAACATATCACCCACCATATCCTTTTACGTGTGTCTTAAAACTTCTGAAATGAATATACTATGTGTAGATAAAATGCAATCATGACCAAAGGCATGAAAGACCTCAAACTGATGAATTTTTGCAGGTTTGCAGGGCATGAGTCGACCATAGGGTCGGCGCATGCATCAGAACAATTTTGCACTAGTCAGCGCACAAGCCAATGCGTCGACCATAGGGTCGGCGCATGAAGGAATAACTTTCCAACGGGTCGGCGCGCAAAGGCATGAGTCGACCATAGGGTCGACGCATGAAGGAATAGATTTCAACGGGTCAGCGCACGCCGACTGTATGGTCAACGCACACTGATGAATTTTCCAGATTTCCAAAACAACATAGGCCATGCGTCGACGCACAGACCTGTTGTGGTCGACCGTTCGCACGGAAAATCTGTTTTAAAATACTTCCCTCTTATATTTGAAATACTGATATGTCTAGAATCATGTTGGCACTATATATACTTGTTTAACCACTTGTGTCATATTAACATTTGATATTCTTTTGATTCATGTGTTAAAAAACAAGAAAGAGTGAAATAGGTGTCCAAGATTCATCATCTTCATCTTCAACATCTCACAACATTTCAATTACACACAATCATTTTTGAAATGCATTTGTGAGAGATTCAAGGTGATAAGGTTCGAGGCTTAGATTGGAGAATCAAGCTCGGGTTGAAGATTGTGACAGGTTCTTTCTTGAATAAAACCATTGGGGTTTTACCCTCCAAGATTGGTTTGAATTTTGGGGGTTTTTGGACGAGATTCTTCATCAAAGGTCAATCGAGCGAAGGTGATTGTGAAGAGGTGTTCTTCACAAGTCTAGTAGCGGATTCGGTGATTTTGAAGGGAAGATCTCGGGGTCGATTTGGTGCTGTTGAGATCAGCTGGAGCCAAAGGTTTGAACAACAACGTGTTATTCAATAAGGTGGCTG